AGGGTCCAGGGTTTAGGGTTTGGGTTTAGGGTTGAGGGTTTAGGGTTTAGGGTTTAGGGTGTAGGGGCTCAGGGCTTAGGGTTTAGAGTCCAGGGTTTAGAGTTTAGGCTTTGGGCATAGGGCATGCTAAGTTTTTAGTCTATGATGGTCAATGTCGATATCAGAGGGTATCTAGCTTCAAAAGTGCCTCCAGGTGTTGGACGCGCATGGGGCAAGCTCCTCTGTAGACGCCACCGTACAGAAGCTGCACCAAGTCTTGGTGCCGGCAACGAGCAATATTTTTCGTGCTTGCTGACTTGGCATCGGGGCTTCCAACAATCGAGGTTCCCCTTCTGGGGTCGTTACCACATTCATCTTAAGCAGGGGATGCGAACCGTATCGTTCTTAATAGTTGACTAGCACTGCTCAGACCTACACTCTCGACCCTACTAGCACATCAGATTTTCTGTTTGAACACTATATCCTAACAGCTTTTGCGCAGACGTCAAAAGGTGGAACAAAACATCAACTCCAGCAGAAAGCATGGCTCCAGGTCTGGCATCCCGTCTGCAAAGACCTGGGATGCGATCACAGCAGTTTCTGGGATTTCCATTTCGCCTCGCACCGGCAAACCTTGGCCCTGATGAAGCTGGACTCCGCGCCCCACGTCCATGCGGCAGCTTGGGATGGCTTGAGATCGGGTACCCAATTGGGTAATGTTAGAGGTATATTGGGGTTTTATGGGGGTTATATGGAAAAGCAAGTGGAAACTTCTATTATGGTCTTAGGGGCAGTTTGGGGTGGGGGCGCAGGGTTTAGGCTTGAGGGGCTGGGGTTCTGTGCCATGCGCGGTTTCCATCAAATCTGCCAGAAAGTGACGCAGACCTCCAGGTACCTTTTCCTCCCCAATCTCAGCACCAGCACAGGAAATCCAGCAACGTCACCGGCTGCAGAAGCGAGTACTTCGCTTCGTTGAGGACAATCCCGGCTACTACGGACAGCCGCTGGGCGCCGAAGGATGTTGAGCGCAAGAGTAATTATGAAGCTGTGTAGACGTACATGAAACCCCAAGCCCTGAATCTTAACTCCAAAGCTTCAAACTTTTGGCTTGCCACTAAGGATCAGGAATTCCAGCTCCTCGCCAGGTCGCAAGTTCGTGGACCCTAGCTTCATCCAGGCAAGTGTTTCGGGTTTCGGGTTGAGGCTGGATGGTTCAGGGTTTAGGGCTTTGATGTTTAGAGCTTTATCCGGACAAGGCCTTTTGTTGAATTGCCCCGGCCTTGACATCATCAGACTTGCTTTCCTCGTGTCCACAAAATTGGCAAGCAACTGAGTGGATAATCTGCCAAGGGTCTTACCTGACTTGTCTTGAGTTACAGTCCCAAGAATTTTGACGTCCGCACTGTGACGTTGAGCCCCCCCTCGCAAAAGCTGGCATAAACCGAAAGCCGCCGCGTCAAATCACCCCCCGTACTCAGCATGGACTTCTTCACGGGGGGCTTACCCCTATATACTATAGTAGTTTTCATTTCATTTTCCAGTATCCCACTATAACCCCAATATTATAGTAGTTTCCATTGTCTTTTCCATTATCCCTATATAACCCCATATTATAAGTAGCAGGGAACCGTAAGCGTTCACATAGTAATCCTAACCTAATCCATCAGCTTCAGCTCCGGGGTGGTGAGTTGAGACCGTTGGGCCGGAATGATTGCAGTGAGTTGCCATATCCTGAAGCGGACCGTGGGGTTCCTAACTTAATGTAGGGAAGCCCTTGCGTGCATCCTTCGAAAGTCCGGAGACTGAACTACCCAGACCCTAAAACCCTGAGCCTTAAAGCTTGCACCCTTAACAACTGGACCTAAGCAACTTGGAGGCTTCTTCCAGGAAAGCTTGGCAGCGCTACGCCAACAGGGGGAGAGAGTCGATGATCAGGCACCTCTGTGTGAGGAACTGCTTCCTCTTGCAACAATGGGGGGACTACCTTCAGGCTTTGAAAAGGGGTTCGCGGCACGTTACAAAGAGAGCACGCATAGGGATAACGCTCAGACCTTAATTTTAGGCGTTGCTTTTTTTAAAGTCGGTTTAGCAGCCTGATAAGGCTTCCTGTCAGGTTCGTTATGCCGACCATGCAGGCATTGGCCAGCACCGATAAGACGAGGCCCGGGTCGAGGGTTAAGGGATTAGGCTGAGCTAGAGTCTAAGCGCCTTAAGGGTCTATATAATATAGGGTATTGCTATAGGGGAGCAATATAGGGGTTACTAAGGGGACCCTAGGAGTCTAGACTGGTTTAGACTTTCGCTCAATGGAGTAAGGAATGGAAAAGGACATGGAAATTATTGTATGCTGCTTAGGGATAAGTGTTTAGGTTTCAGGGCTGGTGGGGCTTAGGGGTCAAGAGCTGTGCGTAGGCCGTGGAAGATGATGTTGGGATTGTAAAGGCGATGTGTCCGTCCATTTTCCCGTACGGAGGGCCTTAAAGCCTTAGAGGAGTGCTCTATGAACAGCAAGGTGCCACCGATCACTCCCAAACCTCAGATTTTCATGTTTAGGTTTGACGGCCGAAATCACCTCAACCCTTGGATCTTCAGAGGCGCCAAGACATTTTATGTCCTATGATGATAGCCCCAAGATGTAAGTATGAAAGCGTGGAGTCTCGTGTTTGTTTAGCTACCCCCTCCCCAATCAATCCGGGCAATCTCGCACAAAGATGAATATCCTCAAGCCAGGAAAGCCCGGTCTAAAGCTTGAAACCCGAACTCTGAGCTGCAATGAAAATAACATTATGTACCAAACTCTGAAGCCCCAAATTTAAGCCTCCGAAACGCATTGAGACGCAAATCCCAAATCACAAGCGTTAAGGCCTACTGCAACCTTAAGTTTGCTATTGGCAATTCCCGCCAGGGCGTTACAGCTTCTTGACCAGGCATGCCGGCATGCCGTTTCCTCGGGTTCAGGAAGTGTATAACTCTGGTTTTGCGTTGAGATTAGGTGTCGAGATTCGGTTGTGTGGTTCAGGGATTCTTGCCCGGGGCTTGGGCTTGGGTTCCATGTATTTACGGCGAAAGGGGGTTAGGCATCGGAGTCGCTGGGCTTTAGGGCTTCTGTGCTGCAGCAGTGGCGGAATGATTTGTATTCTTCATGAGCTATAGTCTGAACTCCTCATATCTCCCTTAATAACCCCTCTAGCAGTCGTCTATAGTAATTCCCTGTATAACCCCTTTAGTGTGTCTAGCCTCTAGCTCTTTTGTATACATAGGTAGAATGGACGGTTTGGCATCCCTCGAGCCTGAACCCTACCTGAGGCCGTATACACCCTTGACATCCCCAAACTCTTTAGGGCTCAGGGCGTAGGGTTTTTAGGTTTTGGGGCCTAACACCAACATGAAACCCCACCCACCTGACGTGAGAGGTGGAGTTTCGGAAGTTTCAGGAGCGAAGGCATGGAGAACATCAGCTGTACAATCAGGAGTGCGGCGTCTTGAGATGTCTAGGGTTCAGGCATTTCAGGGTTCAGAGGGTTCAGAGTTTTTGAGGGTTTGTGGGTGTAAGGGTTTAGGGTGTCAAACATTGCATCCGACAGCAAAGGGCCACGATGCTGTCACAGCGGTGCCATGCTGCAGGACTTGAAAGACGGGCAAGAGGACCGGCGGCTTGGGGGGGGGGGCCAGGGGAAAAGGCCGAGACTTGCTTGAGCGGGGGAGAGTAAGGTAGACGCATGAACACTTGCCAGCATTTTCCTCTATGATGCTTACATAGATGATTTTTGTGGAACATACCACTTACCCTTGCTCCGATTATTCAGGCTTCAACATTACGTGAGGCGGGGCTTTGTTCTAAATCAGATTTGCTGTCCCCACTTGGGGTGGCCACAAGTACGTTCCTAACATAGCCGCTTCTAGAGGGATGGTGCATTTCACAAGCAAGCATTAGGATGTGGGTGGTGCTTAGGGGAAGGAGTAAAGGGATTGTAGGGCTGTATAGTAGGTCTTTGTTGGAAGGCATGTGGGGACCACTCTGGGATCCGTTCCCTTATCCCCCCCTGTCTCAGCGGAAGGAAGACGAGGACGAGCTCAGTTATGCCGGTAGTGAGGAGGCCAGCAT